GACAGATGCTTCTGACTATGTCTCTGCGGGAATTCTCTCTCAACGCGATGATAAAGGTATCCTTCGTCCAATAGCTTATTTGTCGAAAAAACATTCACCGGCTGAATGTAATTATGAGATTTATGACAAAGAACTTCTGGCAATAATCCGTTCGTTCGAGGAATGGCGACCAGAGCTTGAGGGTGCTGCTCATCAAATTGCGGTAATATCGGATCATAAAAATTTGGAATACTTTATGAGCTCTAAGCAACTTAATTGTAGACAAGCACGTTGGGCCGAATATCCCTCACGCTTCAATTTAATTATTAAATACCGACCTGGAAATCGAGAAGGAAAATCGGATGCACTTACTAGAAGATCACAGGATTATCCTGCTGAGAACAATGAAAGAAGGCTCCACCAGAGTCAAATTGTTCTCAAAAAAGAAAATTTGGAGAAACAGTTAGATGTTTCCGCAATATCATTGACACTCACTGCGCAGAAAAATTCACCAGAATGGAAAGATTTGTTTGAGATGGGATACCAAAACGACCCGTTCCCGAATAAAATATTAGGTCTACTGAGAAATAACATTAAACACTCGAAGGAAATATTGCTTGCTGAATGTACTCAGTTTGAAAATAAACTAGTCTACAGGAATAAGTGGTACGTGCCACACTACGACCCAATCAAACTTCACATTCTCAAACGCTACCACGACGATCCCTCCGCTGGGCACCCCGGTCGCGAAAAAACCTTTGAACTTATCAGCCGGGACTACCACTGGCCATTGATGCGAAAATACATAGTGCGTTACGTTCGTAATTGCCATATTTGCCAAAGAAGTAAGCCCATTAACCACACAAAATTTGGAATCCTTCGACCACTACCCATAGCTCAACAACCATGGCAAGAAGTGTCTATGGACTTTGTTACTGGATTACCCGTAAGTGATGGATTTGACGCAGTTATGGTAGTAGTTGATAGACTGACGAAAATGCGTCATTTAATACCCTGCAATACCACAACCAGTGCTCAAGATGTCGCTCGACTATACCTGTGTAACATTTGGAAACTTCACGGTCTACCAACGCATGTTACTTCGGATTGCGGGACCCAATTTACAGCCAAATTCTGGAGAGAACTATGCAAGCATTTATGTATTAAGGCAAGAATGTCCACTGCCTTCCACCCAGAAACCAATGGCCAAACCGAAAGATTTAACGCTGTAATGGAACAGTACCTAAGGTGTTACGTATCATACCAGCAAGACAATTGGGCCAAGTGGCTACCAATGGCAGAATTTTCCGCAAATAACCACGTGTCTGCCTCCACTAAGGCAACACCATTTATGAGCAACTACGGGTTTCATCCTCGTTTTACAATTACCATGAAACCCTACCCAAAAACGCCACAAAGCCACGATGCCAAAGAATTTGCCCTTCAAATGAAAGACATACATGATTTCCTGCAAACTAACATCAGATCAGCACAAGACTTACAGGAGCAAGCCGCAAACAAGACGAGAAAACATGCACCCAATCACCAGGTTGGTGACTACGTATTTCTCTCTGCAAAAAATATAAGGACCACGCGGAATTCCCGAAAGCTCGACTGGAAAAAACTTGGCCCCTTTCAGGTTAATAAAATAATATCCCCATATGCATATCGCTTAGATCTCCCAAAATCAATGAAAATACACCCAGATTTTCATGTCTCCCTATTGGAACCCGCTCCACATGATCCCGTTCCTGGTCAGTTCCACCCACCTCCTCCACCAATAATTGTCAACGAAGAAGAGGAGTTTGAGGTTGAAGAGGTTTATGACTCGCGGACTACAAAGTGTAATGGATTACAATATCTAGTCAAATGGGTAGGCGAAAACGATCCGACTTGGGAACCAGCCATTAACCTTGACGACACCACTGCTGTCGGAACCTTTCACCAGCGCTATCCCACTAAACCTGGCCCACTAAAAAATAGCTCAAATAACCAGGCTCGCAGGAGCTCACGTCTTAAAGGGGGATCTGTTGTAATTCTAACAGTCCTGCACTTGTTACACTAGTCATGTACTATCTCGTTTTCGTTTCCGTTATTCGTATCATTTAATACTGCGCCACATCTATTTTCTGTAATATTAATTAGTCTTGGCGCTTAACACAAGATATGTTGGAAATTATGGTATATGCATGATTCTGTCTTACACTCAGCTAGTTTGGGGGTCTACTGGTGGTCAAGACATACCATCACCATGATAATGTCGCCATACTGGGACATGGGCGCATATCCTGGCTTATTTCTAAATTCGTCTCAGTAGGACTAATTCCTGTATATATGTAGTGTTCTTCTCCTTCAGAAATCCTCAGTTCATTACATTTACTGAATATCTCTGAAGGTAAGACCTCTTACAGTAGTTACTCCAATTTTAGTTCATTACATTTACTGAATATCTCTGAAGGTCTATTCATACCCTCTTCGTGTCACCCTACCAAGCTTCAACCTTAAGCTCTATTCAACTGCTTCGTTGTTCGGCAAATATCCTTCACCTCCCTATACCATTCCAGCATTCCTCTACGATCCATAACCTCACAATAGGATCTACTTTCATGGATAAACGTGGCGGAAACTAGGATGGTGTCTCATGGAGAGTTCCATTCTAAAACACAACTCGGGGTTAGATCAAGTTCTCAAACAATTAGGACAGGCTCAGGAACATAGGGTAGTTTCATAGGGAATGCGTAGTAATACTGTTCGAGACAGAGCTTAGGGCTGTCCTATTATCTGATGTACATATATACCCAGCGTGAAGGAGTATTCTTCTTCACGCAACGTCTTCTGTTTATACTCATACCTATTGTTCACTTACTTATCTTTTCTCTAAAGAAGACCGCCGTTATTGTACCCTTCTTACCTACTACTTATTTTACCTTTACTTCTTACGTGAACCCTATACCTAACGCTGAATTTACACCTCCTACTCTTAGGAATCACCACCATACTCCACACCTGTAACCTACTTGTACCAAATTCGTACCCTACGGAATACTAATAACACTGCTCCTTGAGAACAATACGAGGAAGAGAGCCGGAAGAAAGGATTAATTCTCATATGGCTAAAGGGGGGAATTAATACTAGCGTACGCGAAAGACATAAAGGACAGGATACAATACAGTAGTTTAGCTTTCCCCAAGGAAAAATTATTCATTTCCATTGTGTTAACGACATCAAGTACTTCTGATTTCCTTGTACCTTTACACATACAGATCACAACAGGCCTTCACATACAGATATACATGTACATTAAGGGCCTAGTGATATTGGTATTCAAGATGCACAAATAAATATTTTTGCAGACAGAACGTCATTTACTTCATTTTTATTCTACTATTTGTATATTGTCAAGCTATACAAATTATAAAGCATACAATACGGCTAGTCATGGCGGCAACAAGTACTCTGCTCCTGATGGAGAACGCGACTCTCTTAAAAAGGTTTGCATGTCAATGGAGAAAATGGATGAAAATTACCAGGTACTCAGAAAGAAGGTACACAACAATCATGATGATATTAAAGATATGATTGTCAATTTGAAAAAACAAGTGGCACAGTTAGCAAAGTTAAATGATGTTGAGGCCGCTGTGGAGGAAGAAAAGATATTGACAACTCCTCCTACAGCACAGGTGGTTTTACCCCCATTCCTTGCCAAGCGACCTCACTCTGAGCATCACCCTGCTAACCCTCTCTGCTATTCTGATAGTCAACTTAATGTTCACAAGATTTGCCGCATCTGCTATGCTGACAACTGTGAGAAAGCTATCCATGGAATTTGATCAGCAGTGGTACTACCATCTCAGATAGACAAAAGAGCCGAGCATTCAGCCAAAAATAAGGTTGTCATCCCACAAGCACTTCAAATACACAGAGCCGACGAGAAGGTATTTGAGAAGCTTGAGGCCACTCAGATGAACTTTCAAACAGCTCTTGTTCCTTACCACCTTTAGGCGGCTCGAGTATCTCTCGAACTAGATGGAGATTTCAAGCACGTAGCAATTTGGGCTCAGGCTCATTCATCATCTTGGGAACTTTTCGCCGAAGCAATAATTACTGTCCTTTGGTCTCACTACAAACTGGATGTTGTGATCAGACCAACTTATAGATCACACAACTTGGAATGGCTAGTATTGGGCAAGTGAACCAACAAGACAAGCAACCCTGCGTCAATGATACGTCATTGGCACACAGCAATGACAACACCAGTATCTCAACTATACATGTTTCATGATAATATGACGCAGGTTTATCTAAAGTCATGGTTGTTGAATGGCTGAATGGTTGGCAGTTATTGCTATTGATGGTATATTGTATGTATTGTCTTTGTGTATAAATACTCGCTGCTAGACCTCTGTACATGATCAACCTTTTCCACTATTATATTCAATAGTCATCAATATAGCAGATCTACAATATATATCTGTCTTCTTCACAATAGACTTAAAGTGCTATCCTACATCCACCCAAGTTGACTGTTACACCCATTGTGACAATTCTTAGACTTCTCATAACCTCGTTATTACAATACTAGATGCTACAATAACATTATTCTCTTCAATGTTGCCAGTAAAGGAAGAGTCTTACATCGGATTTGCTTGGAGGCTTTGTCAAGCATTCTATCAATTACCACCATTTCAGCAAGACAAATCTTCGATCCGCAGCATCCTCATCAGCAAAATTCAACAATATATGCCTCGTGCCTGGTCTTCCATGCAAGATGTGCATCACTCTTACACTTCTGCTGCTCTGATCGAATTGATAGTCCAATGTGCTGAGAATGTTTCTCGTTTTGTAGTAGAAGACCATATCTTTGCAACCTCTTCTACTACAATTCCACTTTTAGGACGCTCGGCCCCATTCTACAACCTCACAATTGAAGAAGAAACTTCCGGTAAGCCTGGTCGAAGCCTAATAAATTCACCTACAATAGATGCTCCCATAATTTCCGACCCTAGCAGTGAGAATCGGGATGTCTTCAATACCAGTAAGTGTACATGTGGTGATAAACAGTCTAACTGTACATTCCCTACTCAAGAAAGCTTCAATAAATGTTTCGGATGCAGCAAAATTGGCCACTTCAAGCGTGACTATCCCAACTGTTGTCGCAGCACTCAGTACCAAAATAATTCTAATTATACTAGCAGCCGTACAAAAGCTGTCACCTTTAAAGGACAGTTAACTTTTGATACCAAGCCTGGACTGCTTGAAAAATATAAGAATTGGAAAAATAAGAGTGGCAAGGGCAAGGCTAAGGCGCACTTGGTTAATGGTTACGAGCAAGAGACATCTGATTTTGACAATCAGAGCCCGGCCGATTGTATCGAAGACAATCAAGTGGGTGATGAGCTATCCGCTTTCTTTGAAGCAGTCAATAATCAATAGGGGGGCCCAGACGTTCATTTTGTGGAAGTGAACGTTGCAGGGAATCAACCACTTCCCCTACGGGATAAGCACCTCAGGGAAGGATTCGGAGTACCACATAACTTATTTCTTGTAACACTTGATTGTGGCAAAACCACAACCTTGTTTTTTGATCATGGCTCAAACTGTTGCTATATCTCAGAATCCGTTGCTTGCTCACTGCAGCCCTATGCATTAATCCGACCTTTGACTATGTCCGGAGTTGGTGGCAAGGGACCTCGTATCACTCATGATATTACAGTTCGATTTCGATTCAATACCTTGTCTGGTTTGACATCTGCTACTAATGTTTCTTGTGGTGTAGTTCCATACAGAATATTTCCTGGAAATATTACCTTTGGCCCCACAATTTTCCATGCCTGGGGTATGCTTTGCAATGGTAACGGGTCAATAACTTTAACAGCCTTCAATGGCAAACCCGAAATCTTTCTGATTAAGCCTTGCAAGTCACATTTGGTGACTGAATCTGTTTACTCCTCTTGGCAAGAATCGAAACACTTCTTCTATTCTTTGGGAAAAGGAACGCCGACAGACAATACTCAAGTTCAGGTCTTCATCAATGAATATATCAATAAATATCCAGGTCTTTTCAATTCTAGCAGTCGTAAAATGGATATTTTATCAAAATTCGAACATTCCATTAACACTAGCAATGCAGCACCAATAAAATTCAAGCCTCGTCAATATAGCCCAGCGTAGAACAAGGCAATGCGAGTCTTTGTTAAGGAAATCCTCAAAAAGACCCTCAGAAAGAGTAAAGGCCCTTGGGGATCTCCGGTACACCTAGTTCCCAAGAAAGCTCCTGGCTCGCATATCAAGCCAATCATTGACAATAAGACTGTCAGGCGCAGGTTCACTAGGCGCAGGACTCGAGGCGTAGGAGAGGGCGTAGCGTAGGATGTACTGAGGAAGGACGCCTCGCAGTAACGCGGAGGGCTTTCTAGAGAAGTGGTAAATGGGAAAGCAGGTAGTCGTTCTAGATAGAGGGGCCGGAGGTGACAGTAGGTCACTATGTTTGGCAGAGGACGAGAGTGAGATGTGATTAGAATAATGTAACTATTCCTAAAGACAGAAAACAAAGCGTGAAGATATCAGAATCGGAAATGGAAACTACATAGGTGCCCTCGCTAAGCAATAAAGACTAGTGGGATTAAATAAGGAACCCATAAATCCTGCCTGAGGGATTTCTCAAGAATCCTTACAAAGACGATTTAGCAAATCTAAGTCAACCACTAATAGCTCAACAATATAACCAAGAAGCACCCACATTATTTTCCAAACACAATGGATCAAATCCAACGTGCTGTGGGTCATAAATTGAACGCTTTCATTGATCTCAAAGATGGGTTTTGGCATATCAAAATGGAAGCAAAGGACCGTGCAAAAACAGCTTTCATTACAACATTCGGAATTTATGAATGGAACATTATGCCATTCGGTCTTTGCAATGCGTCCACCACTTTCCAAGCTTTCATCAAAGAAATTCTTGAGCCATATTACGATTTTCTGGCTGGACTTTTGGATGATATTTGTGTTTGGGCAGACACCAGGGAGGAGCTTCATAGGCGATTGCTTCTGGTATTTGCAAGGTTGCAAGAATTTGGCATGCTTTTAAATATTTGTAAGACTGTGCTCTTTGCCCAGAAAGGTATCTTCCTAGGATTTTTGATTTCAGAAGATGGTGTTACAGCAGACCCTGACAAGGTTTCTGCTGTTTGCAACCGCCCCATGCCAATAACAACTACGCAAATCCGAGACTTTGTCAACGCAGCAGGGTACTTTCGGCATTTAATTAAGGACTATGTGAAGTTATTGGGACCGCTCACAAGCCTCAGTGGTGGACCGAAGAATGCGAAGGTTGAGCTCACAGAGGAAGCAAGAAAATTGTAATTCAAAATCCGCAATGCAATCACAACTATGCCTGTTGTTCGAACCTTTAATTGAGAGCTTCTTTCTGTCCTAGAGTCTGATGCAAGCAAATATTACGTCGGTGCTGCTTTGCTTCAACTACATCTACACAGCAATAAATCAGTTCTCCACCCTTTTGCCTATTTTTCAAAGAAGTTGACAGAAACAGAGGTTAGGTATTTGGCACAAGAACGTGAATTACTAGCATTTATGCTGGCGTTACAGCATTGGAGACATTGGGTTGAGGGCGGCGACGTCACTATTGTTACAGACCATGAGACCCTGGACTTGCTCAAGACAAAAGCTGAACAACCTCCAAGAATTCTTTGATTCCTAGATGCAATCCAGCACTTTGGCGTTCGGATTATTTATAGGCCTGGCAAGGCTAATATATTGGCCGACTACCTCTCTTGACCTGCAACAGAAGTTTTTTGGATTGAGCTGGCACTTCAAACCATTGGGGATGGTAATTAAAGTACACAAGCTTTACCTCTTATCATACAACATAATATTGGCATCTCGCAGCAGCAACCAATCATGTCAGACAATGGTTCCAAGGAGAAAGGGACATTTGACTTCATAACAGAAACATTCCAGTTGAATTGTCTTCATCTGCAAGCAATATTTGAACACTTAACACTGCAGACACCTCTTCTGCCACGTATTTGATCTCAGTGGGTCAATGATCACTTCACCTCTCACAAAGGTGCTCTGCACAAAATTGTCAACTACTCAAGAGTTCCAGAAGATCCACCACATGCAGCTGGTATGGCACAGGAGCAATTAGTACTGCTTCCTGTTCTGGAATTCAATGAAATGATGAAAAAAGTTCGTAATTTTCATTTAGACTTAGCACACTGTACCGTTGGTACACTCTGCCGACAGCTTCGTGGAATTTGCTGGCATCCGGAATCAACATTAATGGCCCAGAAAGCTATAGCTGAATGTCCACAATGCCAACTTATGCGACCCAATCCAGCACTTTCAGATCTTCGACCAATCATCCTACCACCACCATTAGCTTGATGGGCAATTGACCACACATTGATTTTTGGAACAAACATTCTAGTGGCAGTCAAATATGCTACAGGATGGGTTGAAGCAGAGGCAGTGCTGTCATTAACATTCGAAGATGCTGTACCACTAATGGACAAAATCTACAATAGATATGGCTATCCAAAGGAATGGATCAGCAATAATGCAGCTTGTTCTGCTGGTTTAGCTGCCATACAATGGCATCGAAAACAAGGATGTGCATTAAAACCAGTTACACTATCACGCCCTTGTGGAAACAGCAACATTGAGAAAGCAGATGGGGATATTAAACAACCAATGCTTCGGGAAGCTCAGAACCAAGAGTGGAATGGGGACGGCCGTAAACTACTAGCTAGGTCGGTCCATATTCACAATAAGACTCCTGGACCCAGCAGTTACAGCCCATTTTTCTTATTGTTTGGGACTCAGCCTACAGATAGCCAACCTCAAGATACTTTTGTAGCATACAAACAAGAACCAATCAACAAAGAGGAAATTCAATTCGGAAGAGATCTTGCACTTTATCATGGAGCCCCTCTCGCACGTACTCATGCCACTGGACTAAAAGCATCTTGCTATCAAATTCGAGCAAACCTCCAAGAGAAAAAGGCCACTATTCGTGTGTTTGCGCCAGGAGATTGGGTATTGCGAGTTTGTTAGCGTAATAATAAACACGAACCCTTCTTTGATGGTCCTTGGGCTATTGCTATTTGCCACGTTGGTAATACTTACCGGCTTTGCAGCCCTGGAGGAGTGTCTCTTCAAACTAAATACAATGGCACTAACTGTCAGGTAACTAGGAGCCTGACCTGTGACAGGCGAAGTGTATGTAATTAGTAAAAGATAACTCAGTAAAAACAACTTTATTCCTATTTCTCCCGGAATTCTAGGACTATATACACTGATCATGATTGACTTGATCTCTTGATCTCTAAATATAGACATGTGCTAGGAATAGAATAACCTGCAGTTCTAAATACAGAATGCAAGCACTGACCGAAACAAACAACCCACGTACGTATAGACAGTCCCTATTTGTGACTCGAGACATTTCCCTATCCAACTTCTTCGGTGGTTATTCTTAGCCGTCGACACTAACCTCTTTCCTGCTTATTCTAGCAATAGTCATCCAGTACGCAGTTTGTGGTATGCTAGTAAGACAATGTTGAAGAAGAATTGCGAACAAATCGAAAGTATGGCAAGTGCAGACGAGCTTCTTGAGGACTAGAAATGGATATTTGATTGGGGAATCAACTCAGAAGTCATTAGAACTTCTATATGATGTATCTAAATGGAGGATAATGTTTTCAGTGTGGAGTTAAATGTTTCTGACGGGTTCATGATATAGATTGCAGACAATCTATTTGAGGAAAGGGATTATGTGGATCCAGAAGATTCAGATCATAGTACCCCCGTGTAAGGTTCGGAATAACTATCGCACACACACCACCTCTGTAGAGTAGTAGCTTTTAGATACACAGAATACATACCATACAGATCACAACAGGCCTTTACATACAGATATACATGTACATCAAGGGCCTAGTGATATTGGTATTCAAGACGCAAAGACAAGCCTTTTTTTTTGATAAAAATAAGAATTTGAGCTTAAAGTCACGTGACTTTGCTTTTGATCACCTGAATACGCGTCGAGCCTTGGCAAGGCTGTGGCCAATTTTTTTCGCTCTGAATGCTGAAAATCGGGTTTTCAGTTGAAAAATGCCGAAATATGGGGATGCAAATGTCGAAAATTTATCAATCTAATGCTGCTGAGTAAGCGAAACGGAATATCGACTTTATAAAAGTTTATCTGAT